TGATGATGCAATCGAATGGATTCTTTTAATAGGTTAGATAATATTCAAGAAATTAGTGATAGACTTCTAACAACATGGATAGATGGAATACGATATTTGATGAAGGTATTTATGGACATGAACATGAACAGTCACGTATACAATCATATGGACATAGGAAAAAATTTAGGCATGCCCCGGAGGGCATGCATCTCTTATTGTGCCTGGGCATGCCGCTCTATATACAGTCAGACCTCCCTAAATGCATATTTCCTAAACCATAGTCTATGAAAGACCTCTCTAAATGCATGGTCAAATTCATATAAACTTATAGATTTTTACCTCCCTAAATGCAAACCTCCCTAAATGCCAGATTTTTTGGCCGCCCCTTGACTATGCATTTAGAGAGGTCTGACTTCATAACCTGATGTTGCATTGCTAGATCTAACTACTCCAAGGATACCAAAAATTCTGTACTTAAGTGTAATATGAAAATTTTCTAAATCATATATGATCTTCGTATTCTACTTGAAAAATTTTGAATATATCGCGCCTTCTATATCTATTGTTGATTTATATTACGTATAATCTTGGAATTTGGTTGTCTGTAATGCAGAATTTTTGGAAGTGTTCTTGAGGAGTTGTAACCAATCAGAGTACTTCTTTTTCACGTGATCGAAACTTATATTCATATGATAAGGCATGCCCTAGGATACCGTGTCTAGCGTTGCCAACTTAATTAAAATAATTTGATATTATAAAACTAAAAATCCGAATATAATTATATTTTTGCATTTTTAATAATTTTTGCATAATTTAAAAAGCCGATAGTATTGTGTAACATATATAAGAATTTGAACTACGCATGATACGTAAAAGCAATACATCTATTAAAATAAATTATACATATTATTTACATTATTAAATATCGATCTATTGCTATTGCTAATTATAAATCGAATTTGTTGTCCATTTCGAACATTCTATTTATTAAATCGTTTGTACTATAGTTCATATTTCCAAATGAATTTGAATTTCCTCTATCATTATTATGTGCCAACTTATCAAGTTGCAATTGACCATTAGTTTCAAATGAAAGATTAGTAAGATCGATAACCTCAGAAATTGTAAGGATATCATTAGTCTGTTCAACAGAGTAATTATTTAATTGTAAATATTATTGATCATTCGACAATGAATGTTCTTGATTATTCGACAGTGAATAGTCTTGATTATTTGAAAGTAAATGTTCTTGATTATTCAATGGTAAGATTTCTTCATTTGAATAAAATAAAAGTTCATCAATATCAGAAATTATAGCACCATTCACTGAATCTTTTAACTCTTGTTGAGTTAAATCTCGTCCATAGTAAATTAATTCTTTTTTAATGTTTGTTAAATAATAGGATCAAATCTTAGCCATTGATTCAATATGATGAATATCAAGATTTGCTAATTATTTCCATAAAACCATCCTAACATAGAAAAGTTTTTTTCGCACCCTGCCTGAGAAGGCATTATTAAAAATAATTTTATTGCAAGTTTAATTAAAGGGGTTTCCTTATCTTCTAATGTAAGCCACCAATTAAGTGAAGTTTCACTTTCTTTTTTATATCCCATATCAAAAGGATCTTCATTCCATTTGTATTTTCTAAGATCAGCTAGTAAATTCGTACATGAATATTCATCATTTCCTAAAGCCTTCCAATAATTGGCTGCAATTTCACAAATTCGTCTAAATATTCCTGTTTTTAACCCTAAACCATGGTAACCAGGGTGTAGAAAATATCCAAGTAAATATGCATCATCAAACTCCTTGTATCGACAATTAAATATAGTATTGTTTTTTAAAATATTTTCTTGAGGTATTTGATTAATTGCAATGGCTAATTTTATGTATTCAACATAACAATCAGCCATTGTTGCAGTTTTAGATTCTATGATATTAATGGCTGTCTTAATTGGTTTAAAATTTCTGAGATTATTTTACATGTTTGAAATAATTCTTCATCCTCAATATATTTGGATACATTTTTGTTAGTTAATATAGTAGGATGTTCACACTTTATCTATAATTTAATAAATAATATTAATATGTATATATTAAATTTATATTGTACAGATAATTAAATTAAATTATCCATTCAAATATTGGACGTGTGTGCAATAATGAATCAGTTGTATTCCAAAGAGAACACCATCGAATTTTGCTATACATTTTTAAATCACCTCCTTTAATTTGCAAGTTAGTTAATCCTTCCTTTAAAATAGCACTTGCACAATGGTTTTTGTTAAAGAATCCAATAATTTCACCACTTTGAGAAATTAGATTTCTAATTAATTTAAGTTTTATTAAATCAGTGGCGATAAGGTTTAATGAGTGAGCTGCACACCGAATATTTAAAATATGTGGATATTTTTGACTAATTATTTGTTGTGCAACTCTAACATTGCTACCTCCATCTGTTACTATCCCAGCAAATTTGTTAATTCCTATATTTATAATAATGCTCTCAATTTCAGTTGCAATATATATTCCAGTTTGTGAAAATTTGGAATAATTTTTAAGTGCAATAAGATATTCGTGCCTATCAGTAGTTGAAACTATGTAGTTATAGATTGAATCTCCATTCGGAGATGACCATCCACCAAGAGCAAGTGTTAAAAAGTTACACCTTCCTAATTTTGCATCAATTTTTAAGTTGATTTGGGCAGTCTCTTGTTCTAATAATCTATTGGAAAGTGTCATACGACCAGGTGGAATATATGTTGAATTAAGATGTTTAAATAAATCAATCATAAATGGATTGCCGATAATATCAAATGATGTGCCTATCATAATCCAAGCTCTTAAAATAGCTTGGTCAATTTTATTTTGCTCGTACGATGATAAATCATACTGTTTTTATAGTTTTTTATTAGAGCTTTTTGCTTGCTTATAATTAGTAATCTTATCTGAAAGGAACTCTTGCCAATGTTCCTTTATATTTTTAGGAACATCAGGATAAATGTTTGCAAGATGAGCCTCCATTTCTGCAGGACGTCCATAGCTCCAATATTTTGAGCAATAATGACAAGTTGCACTACGGTCACTAGCAACATTACTTGATATGTAATAATCCCAATTTTTTTCTTTTGGACGACCTGCATTTTTTTATTTCAGTGTCCTATTTTGATTTTCTAAATATGTTTCAGTTTGCGATAATTGGTTTAAATCTGTAGGGGTTAATTCATTGATCATATTAGAAGTTTGAAAGAGATTTCAATATTATAAAGATTGTTTATTGTATCATTGATAGTTTTAATTGATCATATAATATATCAATGATTAAATTACTGTAATAATTTTTGCTTTTATAATTCTAAATTTAATTATAGTATATTGCAATTTTTGTAAATACTTAACAACAATATTTTTGTAAAGTAAATTATTTTAGCATTTAAATTTAATTAAGTTGGAAATGCTAACTGTGTCCCCAACTCTAGTGGGGATTAAAACGTTAAATAAATCATCAAATTTAATAGATATATTAAAAGAAGTAATTTAAAAATATTTAAATTATTATTGTACTGTACTAACAAATATTACTTTATTTTAACTCATATTTATATAAATAAGTTTACAGATTACGTACAGTTAAAAAAAGAATAGAGAACTTAAAGCATATGGACTAACTTATGAAATTGTAACAAATAACTATATGTTAGTATTTGCTAATAAATTTGATTATGGAGAATGTGCGCATTGCAACAGATATAACACATCAAGAACTTGGCGCCAGACACGTGACTCTCAGAAAACAACAAAAGGATGGACAAGTGGGAATAAGGATATCGATAATTGTATAAAAGAATTTCAACTTAAAGCTACAAAATACGAAGATGTAATCAAATGGATTTCTTTTAATAGATTAGATAATATTCAAAACATTGGTGATAGACTTTTAGCAATATGGATAGATGGAATACGATATGTAAAAGATTTTTATAAATATGAACTTAAACAGTCACGTATAAAATCATATGGAGTGGAACTTAAACATTAAGCTAAAAATATATAATAAGTCTATTAATTATGTGCAGTTAAAAAAAGAATAATAAACTTGAAGTATGTGGGCTAACTCAATTAGGGTAGCTGCGCAGCACGCGGTGCCGTGCAAGACCAGTATGATCATGTACTATGTGTAAATTTAGATTATTCTGAAAAGTTATAAAGCATTTTAATACTCACTAAATAAATTAAATCAAATAAAACAAATATAACGTAATAATAATATAGTAAATGCTATAAATTCGAACAATTATTTTTTTAGATCGTCTAATGAGAAATTTTGATGTTAAAACACATCAACATATAAAAACTGACTCGTTTGAAGACTTTAGATACTCTAATCAAGAAAATATCTTTAACCGGTGGTTGTTATGATAACACTTACCAAATAGTTTCTTGTTATATATTAAAATTTTTTATGTTTAAATAAATGAAATGGTTCTGTAACTTTGTTTGTAGAGACGTAACGCTGATCTTTGCAAAATTTTATTCAAAACTATTGAACCGTTAGGGCTGCGCATATATTTAAAATTTATTATAAAAATTATTATTTATCTAAAAATCTTCATTAATAAATTTTATTATATAACTACATATAGTTTTGATTTACATAGTATACCGCACACCCCAATGAACTATCCATGATAATACATGACAGGGTTTTAGATGGCGCTTACCATTTATTGTTATAGATTACAAATGCTTATTAATTATGACGATCTAATTATGACAAACGTACTAATTATAACGATCTAATTAAACCATTATTGCCTTAACAAGGGGACGTCTAAAGCGGAGGCACTCATATTTCTTAATAATGTTATCGATTAACTTTAGGGTTAGTGCCATCCTATATTAGGGTCAGGATAGGTTTTAGGTAGTTAAATATAAGCAAAATTGCCTTCCCGACATTTTTGATTA